AGAACATTAAACCCCAATATCTATACCATCTTGTTTCAAAAGGCAATTCTATTACAAGTCGACTTCGACACTACTTACTCAATTACAAAATTCTCGATCAAAGGATTCCTATACGGAACATAAATAGAGATACCTCTCGACGAGACTAATCGGAGGCATACACGAGCTTTAACTCTTAGTACGAAAATTTAGGTATAAATCTTTCTTTTTTACCTGCGCATTAATATCAGAAAGGAGAAACGAATAAGTCCGAATGACTTAGTGAAAAACATATGATCCATGAGTATGATGAGAATCAACAGAACAGAACATATAACGGGAGACTTTACAAGAATTTCATTAACAGAAGTGTAACATGTACAAGAGTGTAACATGTACGGCTTGAGATCAATATTTGGTGGGGTCTCCAACCTTGTAACTCCCAACAAATAAAATCATATCACATCCTTGTCCCTCCACTCCGTCCCGAGTGGCCACTCGGTCGGAAACAAGCAAGAGGCACGACCGGAACGTGCCGATCCGGCTCAGGAACGTTTAACTCCAAACGAACGTGAGTCCGAACCATCAGGAGGTACCATTCGGGAGACCAGTCATCGTCAGCCCAATACTGCCCGATCGTCTTGCCGAAATGGTCCTAGGGCCCAGCTCCCCCAAGAGCGTCCTCAAGGGTGGGGACAGTAGGTTCAAGAATCAATATCATTCCTTTTAGGAATATCAAGTCATTCATTTCAAGAATCAATTCAAGAATCAAGTCAATCATTCACAAGATAAGTCACGATCATGATAATTGAATATCAAGTCTCAGGATAATGAACATGTTCAGATTTCAATTCAAGCCAATGAAGAATTGTCGTGAATATGGAATTCAAGAAGAACAATAAATTCCATGTCAGGTTCCAAGAACGAGTATATCAAGATCTCAATGAATTCAATAAACATGAGATTCAAGTTCAACAAAATATTTATTCTCGGAAGGCATTCAAGACAAGATTTTGAGAATAAATATAGTTCAATATCGATTCAAGGAAAATGTTCAGGCCAATGAATCAAGTATAGGAATTAGCCATGAACATAACAACCAAGAGAATTGACAAGTTCAAGATTTCAAGAACAAGATCAAGGTTCCAAGTTCGAGCCAAGAAAACAATATGCTCGCAAAACACTGAGGATCATATTTCAAGAAAAATATAATCAATGCATCAAAGGATTCAAGATGGAAAATATATTTGGTTCAAACAAAGGAGATATTAAGCGCAGGAAAGAAATTGGATAAGGAGTCATAGTTTCTCACCTGGAGTCCAACACTAGTGCTATAGAAGTGCTATAGAAGCATCTTTAAGCTTAAACCTTGAGTGAGAGCTTTACTACGCTCAACACCTATGCAAATATTAGAACTAAATAAGATTTCGAACAGTAATATAGTCATACTACCATCCACTATATGACATAGTCAATTTCTTAAACATATACTAAGAATTGATTCTCGTGGCACTCTATTCAAATAATCACTGGGATCGTCGTACTTATCCGAATGACCTAAATGATATATATAGTTAAAGATAACATTTGTATCTACAAGTTTACTGAAGACACTAATCCCAAATTAACAACATAACCCGTCCATAACAACCCCGAAAGATGAACACATAAACCTGCCAGATTTTCGGATAATTTCGTTTACTGCCACAGCCCGTTTGAAAAATCATAACAAATTGTAAAGTTATCCAAATTGTCCAAATAATACATCAAATGAAACCTGACAACTTAATCTACAAGTTTCATGAAGACGCACAGCCCAAATTATGATCCCAACATATCGAAAACAGTCCCGCAAGAAGATACTCAAAACTGCCCTGTTTCCGGCAGATTACTGTCATCGGATTCCGACCTCTAAAACACGTATATTAAATACTCTAATTCGATACAATTGAACACTTACTTATAGTTTACGATGTCCTCTACGAGTTTCCTGAAGGAACCGATTCCAAATTCGCATTCGAAACCCTTCGATTTCGGCTCCGAAAACAGGTGCGGCAGCAGGTTTTGCTTCCCCAAAATCGCAGCGAGCAGGCTGACTTCTCACCAAACTCCGGCGACCAACGTCGGTGCAAGCCATCATTGAATGTTATTCACTAGAGCTTTGGGTTGGTAAAGCTTTGGGTTGGATGCCCGGGCGGTGATGGAAAGGGATCTTTGAGAATTGTAGAGCTATGAATTGAATCTTGGGGAATTGAGAAGATTGGTAGTAATCGAGTATTAAAGGCATTGAGATAATACTTTAGCATCTATTACCGATATAGATAGTGAGGAATACCCCGTAGAAATATCTATCATACACGACCTAAGACGCAGTTTGAGATTCTTGGTTCTTTTGGTTACTTCAATTGGCTTCCAATTCTCCCAATTCTCCAATGTTGATCACGAGTGAGGTTTCTAGTCTCACTTGAATTTGGTAACACCTTTTCTTGTAGACGTCCCATTCCATTTTACTTCATAACTTGACTTCCTTATCGAAACCATATTATCTCGTTTTGAGTATTGATTTACGGTGAACCAAATATTCGGGAGTTCTTTTGTTCACTCCTTATCATTCCAATGAATTCAATTTTGCTTCGTTGGCCTATACTGTCTAATTTCATTTGTGGATCGTAATAGATTTTCTTATCTCATTTTAATACCTCATAGTCTTGGTTACCAATGTTGTGAGGTTTCGTACCCATTCAAATTCCACATGGTTTGAATTATCCCTTGTTTTGAAGCCCCTTACCTTATTGTGCTACCATCTCCACCTTCTATCCTTTTTTTTTTAAATATTCTATGGTTTCGGCTTATCTATTTGCCGAGACTTCTTATTCAGTTCACTTCATCTTTAGTGTTCCAATTATTTTGAATACCATATGATTTTGGTCATGTTCTTGTGAGGTTCCTTATTTTTTTTCACTACCATCTGCTTGCTTTTGATAATTGTGAGGTTTTCTATCTCTTTGAACACTCTAGTTTCGGCTAATCTATTTGTCGAGACTTTTATTTCCTTGAATATTTCTTTACTTATTCAATATATACTACTCCATTTTCAATGTTCCAATTTTTTTGAATATCTCGTGACTTTGGTCACGTACATTTGAGGTCCCTATTCTCGTTTGATTTGGTTATACCATTTGTTATGATTCTGATATCGGATCAATCTTTCTACCTATTTTTGAGGTTCTTGTTCTTTTGGCCTCAAAATTCGATTCTTGTGCATGAATTGTTCCATTGTTATTATTGATCACAATGGAAATCCCATACCTCATTTCAAAACTCCTTATCTCATTTCAATACTTCAGTGTCTCGGTTACCTACTTTTTCAGGTATTTGATTCTTGTATACAATATTGCTCGACTATCTTACTTCATTCCCATTATTGATCATGAGTGAGGTGTTTGATCTTGTTTGAATGCTTCCATATTCTTGTTACGTTCTTTTTGAGATTCCTCATCTCATTTAATTCTTCTTGATTTGGATAGCCTATTATGTGAGTTTTCTTATCCCTTTGAAACCTTGTGATTCGACTTCTTCATATCGCTTCCTGTTGTTCCGTCTCACTCATAGGCCATGATTATTGTTAATTCAGAGTAAAAGTATGGACCTTGTTTGGGCAATGTCGTGTAATATGACTACGGTTGTATGCATCTATTGTTATATCATCTTATGGATTCGACCTGGAATAGTTTCGACGATTATCTTACTCGACGGAAAAGGGTTATGTAGTTATCACGACTTAGAAATTGTATAGAGTTTGTTGACTCTTAAGGTATCTTGAGCACTTTGAATTCTTGATTCTAACCGTCAGGGTACAGGGAGCTAAGTGGAGCTAAGTGCTATGCAGGGCAAAGTGCTACCCAACGGGAGCCACCTCTTAATCTTGCATGAGCCACCTCTAGAGTCCCTAATGTCCGATAAGTCAGCTATATCTTAACATTGGATTATCAGTTTTTGCAATTCTATTCGATTAATATGAAGAGCTAAGTGTTATGTGGAGAAGAAGTTTAAAGTAGAACACCTTTGTCAATAACACCGTAGATGATTGCACTTTTCTTTGTAAGATGGGAACGACAACTGCAAGAATTCGGCTTGCATGTTCAACTTGCTATAAATAAGTTTTGCCCGTCATGTCGCTTGGTTGAAGTAATTCACCATGGACATTACTAGACATAATGTATATAATGTTTTGGATGTGATTAGAGCGTGCTTAGTGTCGAAGAAAGACATTAGACTAGTTCACCTATGTTGAAATAGTAGTGAATTCAATGAATTAATAAGGCTACTCAATTGTCGGATATTCTGAGTCATGACTTCTCCACGATAAGTATTTATTAGGCATGCGGTTGCGAAACCACCAGAAGATTTTATCAACCGTTGCCATCTTCGATTACTCTTGATTTTAGAAGTAAAGCTCTCTTCCATCAACCGTTGCCTGGTCGATCTACTATTTGAAAACCTTTTCTTTGCGAACGCCACCTATAATCAAGTTCTTCTAGTGTCCAATGTTGATACCATAAGTAAATCAGGCTTTGCCGTCCTCTTTGATTATAATTATGGTGCATTCAATTCCACTTTATGTAGACCAATGAGAAGAGAATTTTTGTGGACCGGGAAAGTAGTTGCCTCTTTGTTTGCTGAAGATAATTTAGATCCGAAATCTATCTCTTGTAGCTAACTCACATTGTCTCGATATAGATTATAAGTCATCTCGTTCTTATGAAAGCAACTATCTGCAACATAGGACAAAATTTCAGCTCGGTACGGGAAACGTTCTCAAAACTAACTCTCGTGTGAGTGGATGACTGAAAACATTGAAGGAACCTTGTGAACGTATAACGCAGATCATCGTGATAATTGGGAATCTATCAAGGTGGAATGCAGACAGCTTCGCAGTAGTTCGTGGAATAAACTGTCAATCGAGCTTGCAATTCAAGATTAGATGAGCGACGAATAACTAACGACGGCAAATGTAAGAGCTTGGAGATTGATACAAGATGCTACGGTAAAGTTCGACTTATCAAATAAAGATTAAAGTCTACACGAGATCGTCAAAAGAGCTATGCAAATGTGGAACTAGATATATAATTCTAATTGCATCAAATTTTCGAGCGAAACATAGGAGAAGAAACACGTTCTCTTGAGTAAGGTGACACGGATAACTAGGGAGAAATTTAAAGATTCGAACGATATCAGACCGTTATTAATCCCTTTCATTCCTCTCATCAGACCATTTGTAGCACTCCTAGCTACAACCCTAACTAGATTGTTTCCTAATGGTTGATGTACCTTACAAGTCCCATCAATTGGTTGACGAACCGTACCTTGGCCTTCAACTACTAGAACATTGTAAATATTCAACATCTTGCTCAACGGTAAGGCTACATCGAGTATGAAACCGATGAATTGGATAATATTTCTAATGAAGTCGCGGATAACAAGGTTCTACGAGCAGTACTTCCTAGTACTACCTCAGATTTGAATTGAAGTGTATTTTTTTAATTCATCACGATAGTAGTTTGACTCATTACTTAAGTCAATACCAAGTTTGGGAAGATATAGATTGTCATGGAAACACTTCGTAGAGGTTTGAAGGACTAAGCTAACACCATTTTGATCGATTTCGAATGTTATTCATTGAAGCGACATGGCTAGAAGATATATTATCACATGAATAGAAATCGGTTCCTATTGTCGTCACCAACTTCTATACTTGCTAGAGACTATACGCACAAATGATATCTATCATGAAAACGAATTCCTCAATTACAAGACTTGAAGGTATTATGGAGAAACCACGAAGCTAACGAAGCGATGGATGAGCAAGAAGATAATTTTAGGAAATTGTATTTCCATGTTCGAATAATAGTTGAGAATCTGGGGACCAGATTCTTTTAAGGAGGGAAGAGTGTAACACCCCGTAAATTATGCGAGGGTTTATTGTACTTTATAATGAGAATTGGGGACTGATGTGTTATTATGTAATAATTTTGGGGCATAAGCATAATAATAATTCTATAATTTAGTAACTTGGCCATTAAGCAATTGAGGGGCTTGTGTAATCGGATAATTGAATGTTATTAACCAAGAAAATTAGAGAGAGAGACACGTAGAATAAAAGATGAGTCAGACTTCCTCTTCATCTTCATCCGATTCTTCCTACACTTCACTCCTCTTCTCCAAACTCCTTTCTCTCTCTCGCTCTCTCTCATCATCTCTCTCTTTCTCTCTATCTACCTCACCGTCTCTCTCTTTCTCTCTATCTTCCTCTCTTCTCTCTCTCTCTCTTGCTCACGTTTTCTCTATCTCCGCCATTCTCTCTAGCGGAGTCTTGGCTGGAATCACCTAAATTAATCGGAATTATCAAGTTTCCAAGTGAGGGTTTGGTGTAACCAAGTTTAGGTCTGACACCCTTAGAGATTTAATTCCGTTGATTGGGAGGTGCCGTTGGAAATCTCGAGACGCAGCTTCCTTGTGGTGATGGATTTCACCGACGATGACGCGCGGTGGTGGCTGGAATCGGGCGAAGAAGACGAGCAGTCCAGAACCCGAATTTCAGCGGTTGGTCGTTCAAAGAATTAATTGAACGGAGGTCTTAAGGGTAGAATCTCGACGATCAGGTCCCATCATTAGAAACCTCACGATGTTACCTTTCTGTTGGTGGCGAAGCTCGATGGCTTGCACCGACGTTGGTCGCCGGAGTTTGGTGAGAAGTCAGCCTGCTCGCTGCGATTTTGGGGAAGCAAAACCTGCTGCCGCACCTGTTTTCGGAGCCGAAATCGAAGGGTTTCGAATGCGAATTTGGAATCGGTTCCTTCAGGAAACTCGTAGAGGACATCGTAAACTATAAGTAAGTGTTCAATTGTATCGAATTAGAGTATTTAATATACGTGTTTTAGAGGTCGGAATCCGATGACAGTAATCTGCCGGAAACAGGGCAGTTTTGAGTATCTTCTTGCGGGACTGTTTTCGATATGTTGGGATCATAATTTGGGCTCTGTGCCTTCATGAAACTTGTAGATTAAGTTGTAAGGTTTCATTTGATGTATTATTTGGACAATTTGGATAACTGTACGATTTGTTATGATTT